GAAGTACAAGTTAATAATATTTTGATAAGTTTGCACGGTGATAGATGATTACTAGACTTAGTATGGTGATCTCATTGTAAGGTATAAAAATGTCGAATCACTATCTTGTACACCTGAAACTAATATTATATGGTATACCACCTATACTTAAATTTTTAAATATCATTGATTACAGATCACCATAACAAATACAATAATAATTAAAAATTTTGAAATATTGCGTGAATTACCAAAATGTGACCGAGACATGAAGTGAGCAAATGCTGTTGAAAAAGTGGTGCTGATAGACTTGCTTGAAGCAGGGTTGCAACAAACCTTCAATTTGTAAAAAATGCAGTATTTGTGAAGCACAATAAAGCAAGTGCAATAAAACTAGGTATGCCTGTGTGTCATGTAGAGAGATGTCAAGCAGATATAATGTAATGACCTGAATTTGGAACATATTGAGGTTTGGGTATTTAAGAACATAAGCCAGAGATGTTTAGAAGACACTAGCTATGTGAGACATAAGTCCTGGGGCAAATCAGGGCTTCTTTAGCATATATACAGTATTTCAACCTTGGTGATGGTTGGAAGTACCTAGGAGAGGGACTAAGGAGAGAAGGAAATGGAGCTTAGGACAGACCCTAAGCTTAGACAAGTTCTGAGATATTAAGGAGAGTAAAGCCAAAGAAGGAGAGAAAGTCCTAGAAGGAGGTGCAGGGGTTGGCAGCATTGACTGGAAGAGAAAGGCCAAGTGAGGCAGGTTGAATAACAGCACAGGATTTGGCCATCAGGAGTCCTGAGTGCCTCAGTGAAAGCAGCTCAGTGAAAAGGGTGTATTCAAAGATTACTCTTTGCATACGTTTGCAGGGAAGAGGAGAAAGGGGTTCTACATCTCAAAAGACATTAGCTGCCTTTTTTTAGAGAAAAAGAAAAAACAAACCTTCATAAGTTTGATATTAAAAATAGTCTCTTAATATAAAGTGCATTCCTGTAATTATTATCAGACTCAACAATTATTCAATGTTTATTGAATAATCTATATTTCTCTTGTGAATTATGTGCTCATGTCCCTTATCCTTTTTTCTACTGAAAATGGCATGTTTGTTTTATATTCATAAGACATTTAAACCTTTGACTGTAATATGTATTGCAAATATTTTCTCCATTTTGGTCTTTAGATCTAATTTACAGTAACAGTAGCAAATGTGTGTGTGTGTGTGTGTGTGTTTGTATGTGAATGTGTATACATTTAACTTAGGAATAAACTTTACAAGAACTGTGTAGAGTATATGAAGAAAGTTATAAAGTTTACTGAGGTATTTAAAGACCTTTGAATAAATGGAGAGAAATAACATATATTGGAAGTATTCTTTCTCAAATGTAAGGATTTTTGGCAATTTCAATCAAAACCACAATAGGTTTTCTTTTCTGGTGTGAGGAGATCTTGGCAGATTCTTAACTAGCCAAAAAATTTAGAAAAGAGGAGCAGTGAAGGGGCACTTACTCTTCCAGATAATAAAACATATAAATTATCGTCATTAAAACAATATACTAATAAGCATCAGAATAGATAAAATATTTTTTTAAAAAGGTAGACTAGAAACAAACATTTTTTTGGACTGGGAAGAGCTAACTACTCAACATACATAGGAAAAAAATCACATTAGTAATAGATTCAGCTTTAACAATGAGAAGCTTTGGTAAAGCAAATAATACTAGCTCCTAGAATTGTCACTTTCAATAGTTTATCTAGGGTAAATAATTATAAATGTCCACAAAAATTTAGCTACAAATGAGTTCTTTACAGTATCGTTTATAATAGTGAAAAATCTCTAGGAACATAAAATTCCAGTAGAAAAGAATTAGTTAAATTATAATACATGAAACAGAATACTATGTTTGCTTAAAATGTTGTAAAGAAGAATATTTAATAATCTGGATATGGGGCCAGCCAAGTGGCTCAGTTGGTTAAGAGCTCGCTGAAGAGTGCAAACTCTGAGCAACAGTGGTTCAAGTCCTGGCCTGAGCTGAGTTGCCGCTGAGCTGCCAACAGGTGGCAGGATGGCTCAGCTAAAAAAAAAATAAAAAAAATAAAAAATAAAATAAAATAAAAAATAATCTGGATATGATATGTTGCTAATTGAAAAAAGCAAGTTATGAAAGAGTGTATACTATGTGACCCATTTTTTGTTTCAAAAAGAAAACAAGCTATATTTAGGGGAAAATTGTTGAAATTTTAATAGTCTCTGGACAATGGGATTATGGGTGATTTTTACTTTCTTCTACATATCTGAATTTTAAATTTCCTTTAATGAAATGTAGGAATAAATAAGGAAAAGATAACTCAGTTGTTTAAAAAATTGAGATAATGGAAGAGAATACATTTCCATGGAAACTGACTAAAGTAAAAATTCTCATAATGCCTCAAGGAGTTTGTATTCACGTCACTAATTTTTTTTAGCATTTAAATATTTTGACTTGTCAATCAAATGTTATTGATAAAAGTGAAACAATGTTAAACCTGTTAATAATATCAGTCTTATAAATATGATCTATGTCTTTGTCCAGGCTGCCACAGCAAAATACCATTAACTGGGTGGCTTATAAACAACAAATATTTATCTCTCACAGTTCTGGAGGCTGGGAAGTCCAAGATCATGGAGCTGGTAGATTTGGTGTCTGGCGAGGGCCCAATTCCATCTTTTGGTCATGTCCTCACATAGCAGAAAGTGTGAGGGAGCTCTGTGGCCTCTTTTATAAAGACACTAATTCTGTTCATGCGAGCTCCACTCTTATGACCTAATCACCTCCCAAAAGCCCCACCTCCTAATACCATCACATTGGGCATTTGGTTTCAACATATTATTTTTGGGGAGAAACACAAACGTTTAGTCCATAGCAGTCTATATTAGAATGACAGTGGTAATTTCTCTGCTTTCGAATGTACCAGCTGATAGACTGTCTCCAGGTTTCCTAAGAACTGTTTGTTGCAATTAGTCACCCTTTGGCTGCTTTTAAGTTAACGAATTATTTTCTTATACCCAGAGTTCTTCATTCAGGATGCTGCTGCTGCTGCAGAAAACAGGAAACAGTGGGATGCGGGACCGCCTCAGACTCTGCTGCAGATGATGGCAGAGGCCGATGTCACCTCCATCTGTTCCACGAGGCCTGAGGGTGAATTGAGATCAGTTGGCATAAATTGCCAGCAAGAGGAGACCAAGGTCCCAAATGCAGCTAGTGCTCATCCTGACCTGATAGTTCTACAATCCCTATAGATTTGGTATCAAATACCTTCCAAAGAGATTGTTTTGGTTCCTCCCCTACCTCCGGAGAAACTTGTCTGCCAATTATCCTAGACAGTTGACCGCCCTACCTATGAGAATGTAAAGGAGGAAGGGTCCAGAATCCCTCCTTCCCCACAGGGAGAGAGAATGTGTAAGGAAGGGCTGTTGACTTTATTTTCCTTCAAATGCTAGCCCAATAACTTCCTTGCAATTTTTTGGAGGGTTGGTGTTTTGTTTTGTTTTGTTTTAGCTGAACCATCCTGCCACCTGTTGGCAGCTCAGCGGCAGCTCAGCTCGGGCTGGGCATCAAACCGCTGTTGCTCAGAGCTCAAACTCTTGAGCGAGCTCTTACCCAACTGAGCCAATCGGCCGGTCCTAGAGGGTTGGTTTTTTTAATCAATACATTTGGAATTAAAATAATAGCAATGTAGAGAGGTAACAGTGCAAAGATACATATAAAATTGCTTTGGAAACCAATGTGCTATTTAATATTTAAATGTTAGGAGTGTTTCGTATGTGATGAAATTTTCAATCTAAATTCCTTCGTTTACATTTGAGCTCCTGGCATAGTCTTTCCTTAGGAAAGGTTTACAGCAACATCCAGGAGTTACCTTTATAGGTAATGAAAGCTTTTATTACATATTTCCTGTGCTTCTCTTGATGATAACATGGGACTGAGGGAGAACTAAAATGTATACCCATGTTATGAATTGAAATATGTAAGTATATCACTGAAATTAGTTATTATCAGTGTGTGGACTGACATATTTATTCTATTACAAAATACTGACCTTGTTAAACTTGCAAGAAAGGGCTTAAAAACGTAGTACAATTTAATCCATTCTAAGCCAACGAGTCAGTAAGAGGGGAAAGCTAACTTAAAATAAGCAACTATAATAGAAATTTTAACACACCAAGATAGCCAGTTTACAGAGCAAAAAGTGACTCTCCTACTCATCAGCTACGTGACAATGTCACTAAACTTTTCTATATCTCAGTTTTCTTACTAATAAAATGAGTGCGTGGTGGGATGAGGTTACCTCCAAGGCTCTAACATTCTGTGATTTTATAAAAACTCAAATGAAGAAGCATCTTTATGTTCAATAACCCAGCCTCCTTTTCAGATGGCCAAGTGATGGTGATCAAAGGCGTTCCAGAAAATAGGAAACGGTGGCGGCATGAAGCTCCAGGGACTTTAATGAGTGTGTTGGCAGCCACACATCTAACACGTAGCTCATTTTCTGGCAAAGAAGAATTTGGTATGTAATTTATTTTTAAGAACATAACCAGTCCCCTGAGGAATTTTGTCAAAACACTTGTAAATGCAGAAAGGGGATAAAAATACCCTCAGCCTGGAGAAAGAATTGGGAGGGTGTCTGAACCTTTTCAGAAGCTGATTTGTGTTGTCCAAACCTGTTTCAAATGCCATTAACAAAAGACCTGAACTTCCGAGAAGAGTGGGGTAATTTTGTTTAATGTGATCATTTGACAACTGATGAAAAGTTAAGCAAGACTGGTGGCTTTGTAGATAATGAGCTAGTATTGCTTTGCTCTACCTGACAGAATCAGTTTATTTCTGATAGCTATTCAGCAGACTCAAGTTATGATCCTATGGGCAATAAAAATACATTTTAACGTAGTTTTTGGCTTTTGCCTCCAAAGTTTAGCAAGATTATGCTTGTGTTTAAGAGAAACCAACTAAAATTTCTAAAATTTGAGGCAATTCCTATCACAGTGGGGATTTGTCCTCTATCAGGTATGCAGGTGTAAACTGCTACAAGAAAAGCCATTGTGGACAGGCAGGTAGGTGTCAAATGAGGAGCATCTGCACAGGTGGGGGGTCTAGGATCTGGTGCTGCAGAGATGTGAGGCTGAGGTGGCAAAGAGTCATAGAAACAAACTGGATAGTAACAGAGGCTGGCAATGCTAACAAAGTTAAAGAACAGTACAAACATATATACAACACTAAGCATAATGCAAGAATTATCTAATTAATGAAGAGTGGGTCTGCCAGCTTATGCAACCCAAATCTCACAACCTTTGTGAAAGTTGAACCTGAAACAATGTGCAGGATTTGACTGAGACAAGAAGAAAGGGCATGTCAGGTGGGGAGGACTTGAGGAGATACAGTCCTGATTGGAGACTGAGAAAACCGGTTTGATTAAATCTAGGAGCAATAGAAGGGGCCAGAGTCCCTGAGTGTATGAAATCTTTCAGCATTATGGCTTATCGAAGTTGACATGCTGCTGTTTAAAACTTAAGAGACGAGAGAGAAAGAAAAAGAGAGAACACTGCCTTTGAGACTCTCTTTCCAGGACCTTCAAACCACAAACTGAAGGTTAATTGTCTGCTTGTCATCTTCCTTCCCTTCTGTCCTGGGATAAAAGCACTGTCTCTAAGTGGGACTGGAGGTGGCCAGAGGAAGCTTTGCGCAGGCCTGGCTTGGCCTGGGAGCTAAGAGCTGGGGCCCCCGGCTAATAGGAGGGATGGTTTTCATCATGACATTCAGATGGAGACAAACTTGGTGGGTATGATTCTCTCCTCTTTTGTTTGCCCCTATGCTTTTTGGCGTCAACAGAAGAAATGTTCAAACCTATAGAAAAATTTTTATGAGTTTATTTGAGCTAAACGGACCACAGTTGTCCGGAAGCAGAATCTCTACAGATTAAGAAAATGCTCTGGAGAATGGCAGTTTTACAGCTTATTTTATACATTAAAATCAAAGGAGGAGACAAGCCGTAAGAAGAGTTACATGAAATCCATTGGTGGTAGATTAAGGAGGTGGGAGAAAGCAAAGCAGGGAAATCTCTGTGATTGGATAAAAAGTAAAATGGAGAGACACATACTTCTTTTGCATTGGTGCGTACAGGATAGATAATAACTAACATTTACAGCGCATAGGGCTGGTGTGTGGGGAAGGCAATAACAAGGAGGGGTTCTGTGGTCTCTGCTCTGTCTGGTGCATGGGTTGTGCCCTGAGGGTCCTGGAAAAGGAGATTATAGTACTCCATGTTTCAAAGGTATGTTATCTTAAATGCAAAAAAGACAATAGACAGACTCACTTAAGTTAAAGATTGACCTTTGTCAAGAAAGCTAAAGGCCTGGGAGGTGACTACTCTCCACGACCCACTTTTAGTTAGGAATTTTTGTGTTCGGACCATCCTGTGTGGTTACTTTCAGTCTCTGAGTTTGTAAGGACCACCATGTAGGCCTCCCCTGAGCTTGTCAGGTTTAGTATGTGGCCCCTTTTTTCGTCCACAATGGGGAGAGTTACAGAAAACTCTTCTTTTAATCTCTCATGACAAATTAATTCATGAGCTATTGTATTTTCACATGGACAGTTTTACATTAGGCATATACGAGCAATTTATCTAACAAGTGGGATTGGGATTAGAAATAGGAACTTGCCTCCAAAGGTGGCATTCAAAATAAAGTGCAAGTATTTTCTTTTGTAACATGCTGACATCCCCCTCCAGCTCTGCTTTGCTCTTTCAGCCTCTAACTTTGTTGTTGGTCTCATCTCACCTTTCCTATCGGTGCAATCATTGTGACTTCCTGTCCCTCATCATCTTTTTTTTTCCTTCAGCTCACCCTCTGCAGTCCTGCCAGGTCATCCTCCTAAAATGGATGAAGTCTCTTCTTGGTTTAAAATCCTGCAAAAATTCCCCCAACCCCCTTACTCTCAGGATAAAATCCAGACTCTTGGCAGACTCTGAGCACATTAAGGATCAGATGGTCCCTCCCAACCTGGCGCATCCCAAAGCCAAAGCTGCTAGCATTTCTCTATTAGCAAAAATTCTTCCTGGTTCAGAATGAATGCTTCCCTCCCTTTGCCAAAATAACCCCTCCTGTAAGATTTCACTGTGATGTGAACTCCCATTCATTTCTGTCATTATGTTTGATTTTTTAAATAATTTTTAAAAAAATTTATGTGTCAGTATGTTTTATCGGCAGTTACACTTCTCTCCCTACTTTTCCCTATACTACCAGATAGGGCTTTTCAAAGGGGTCTGGATTATACTAGATTCTGAATAAGTGTTTTTTCAATGAATGAGTGAAAGAGCTTGCAACTTGATTAATATGCTTATCTTTAATCCAAAAAACGCTAATAAGTCCTCAAGTTTGTCTACTGTCTTTTCTCTGTGAGCTGCCTCTGACAGTTTCACATTCATTCAGTCTCACTTAGATTCATTCACACTCAAATATTTGTTAAATGTAGGAAATACTGACACTTTATTATTATGTGTATCATTTAAGTGTAGATCATAAAAAAGATGCAGTAGTAATATTATTGTGAACTTTTAGTGATTGCTATAAACTATCTAAATTAAAGTACTGCCTGTGTAGCATAGATAGGGAGCCACTGTTTTAGATGAGTGGGAAAACATCTGGGAGTGTTTTCCTTACAGTCCTCTACGTTTGGTTTCCCTGCTTAATATCCCAGAAGATACTAATGTTCTCTGATCATTAAAAGAAAAGTCACTTTAATTTGTTGTTTACTATCTTTTCTCCTCACTAGATTATAAGCTTGTGAGAGCTTTGTCTTGCTCACCACCCACACTGCCTCTCCATCCCTAGTGTCTGGTCTGCCCAGAACTTATTTGGTGGCCGTAGTCTTTGTGAATGAACATACAGCCATAGGACATTTTTAGTATTAGTTTATGCAAAGGCATGTGATTGCCAATATTTGTGTTGCTATTAGTGGGATAGGGAAATTACATTAAAAATAAATTGTATGGATGTATAGAATCTTCATAATGACTTTCTGCATGGGTAAATTTTAATAGCTTTGATTACAATATGATAGACAACTTATAAATTCTTTTAAAGGTGATTTGTCATAAATTTAAGCATTATTCATATATCCTTCATCAAACAGTCTTTAGCTTAAACTTCCAAATCCTTGAAAATAAATTGCTTTGAAGCTTCTAGCTCTAAATTTCATTTAAAAAGAGACTTTCTCAAGTACATGTTTAATATGTCCTAATTTAAAAAGTTTAAAATAGCAAAACTTTCTAAAATCTTTTTGAATGAATCTTACTAGTAAAAGCTACATACTTAAATAAGGACAAGTATTTTTTTCTTTACATGTGCATAATTAATTCAGATCAGTAACTTTGTTTATAGTTTAACCACTCCAAGTGAATCTTTGGTGGGAAGGTAACCTCCATTTGTCTTGTGTAAGTTTTCAGGCCACATGGTTGCCTTGGTAACATCAAATTGCCTATCCTAATAACAGCTGATTTACATTTCTGTGTTAGCCATTCATTCTTTCTTCTATCCTATTAAACAAGAACAAGAGCCTCCTAAAATTGTCTTCCTAAAACAGGGAAACAAAAATGATCAGATTCCCACACCAAGTGGAATACTCAGGCTGCGTCTAATTAGCCAGACTACCTCATAGATGAGATATATCAATCTACTTCATTAATTTTATGCACTTTAGGAAATAATATGGGCTGTGGTTTTGTATGAAATTTATGTTTGAAGAAAAGTGGGTAAACATTTCATTCCAGTGTGGTGAAATTTCCACTTGTAGGTATGTATATGAATAGTCATGTAATAGTTTACAACAACAAAAAAAGTGCCACACTTTGCTTTTAAATTCACATTTGGAGGAAATTCATATTTCAAATCTCAACATCTTAAATAAATTTCTAATATATGCCTAATGTAAAACTACTCATATGAAAAATAGTAAGTTCATGAATTAATTTACTTGCAGTGATGAAAAGAGAGTGAGAATATATATAACCAAAATAGCACATAAATTGGGAGTGGTAAATTATAGTTAGAATATTTTGCATTTACACATTGTTTGGGAAGTGGTGACAGTATTAAGTTATATTATACTTCAAGATGTTAAGAATACATTTGGTAATATCTAGGGTAAATACTATATTACAGTAAAATTATGTATAATATACAAACAAGAAAAAATTGAGATTATAATAAATACTTAATTCAAAAAGTGGCAAGAAAGAAAAAAGCAACATAGGATTGATGGGCCAATAGAAAACAAATAGTAAGATGGTAGATTTAAACTCAAATATATAAAAAAATATGTAAAGACTAAAGATTCCAATTAAAAGACAGGGTTTCAGACTGGATTAAAAGAAAAAAAAAAAGACCCAACTATATGCTGCTTTCAAAAGACACTCTTTAGGGCCTGCCGAGTGGCGTGTTGGTTAAGAACTGGCTTGGGACGCCAGAGGGTCCCGGTTCGGATCCCACATATGAGGGCCAGTGACACTGCCCT